GTCAGATCCAGAGACCTTCTCTTCCCTTTGAGGGTACTGAATGGTGTTGAACAGGGCTCGGTAGGCATGGGCCAGGCCCCAGCACGTTGCAATGATCTGTGTCTCTCTGGAGTTGCCAGGGTGACAGCATACTTTGTCCAAATGTTCTACTAATGTTTCAGGATTCTGCACTTGTTCAGGGGTGAAGTTCCAAAACAGTGGAGGTGCCCACTGTCCTAGGTACTTGCCCATGCTATCCCCCACACCCTGCCACTCCTAACTATCCAGCCTTGGGGCAGATCTCTGGCTGGTATCCTTAAATAGTTGTTTAACCTTAAACAAGACCTGAAACACATTCAGGAGACATAGCAGTATGTTCAAAACATGCTAGTTTGAACATCCTGGTTTCAACATCCCAAGGATATTCAAAATTCTCAAGAGCTATTGTAACTAGTCTGGAGGGGAAGGGGAAGGAGCAGGGGAAATTGTCCCCCCTTGTCTCCCTCATAAATTGGCTATCCGAGGAGAAGAAGTGAAGAGTGTAATTATTAATAGTTTCCGAGAGATGGTTCCCGAAGTATGGAGACGATGGCAATGCTGAGTACAAATACCAGATTAGTCTCATGACCAGTAATTCTATCATATCATAAGCCAGTGTTACACACTACAGCAAAATTATAACCTTAATCCAGCCCCCAGAGGTGATAAACAGCACAACAGGGAACGTATATTGCAAGTAAGGTGCTACACAACACAACTCTGAGAACAAGCACAACAACTTTGAGAGCAAATAAATCAACATTGCGACCAGCGACTATTAACCTAATAATGAATACTTGTAACAAATTTGTTTTAACATGCTCTGATCAGATCTGTCATTATTGCAACCCTTTGTGCCCCACGTTGGGTGCCAAAAAGACTGTTGTGGTTTAACCCGGCAGGCAGCTAAACACCACACAGCTGTTCGCTCACTCCCCCTGCAGTGGGATGAGGGGGAGAATCGGGGAAAAAAAGAAGGTAAGACTCGTGGGTTGAGATAAAGACAATTTAATAGGACAGAAAAGAAAGGGAAAAAATAATAATGATAAAAGAATATACAAAACAAGTGATGCACAATGCAATCGCTCACCGCCCACTGACCGATGCCCAGCCAGTTCCTGAGCAGCAGACCCCCAGCCAGCTTTTCCCCTAGTGTATATACTGACCATGACATCATATGGTATGGAATATTCCTTTGGTCAGTTGGGGTCAGCTGTCCCAGCCGTGTCCCTTCCCAACTCCTTGTGCACCCCCAGCGTACTCACTGGTGGGGCGGTGTGCGAAGCAGGAAAAGGCCTTGACTCTATAAGCACTGCTGAGCAACCACTAAAACATCAGTGTGTTATCAACATTATTCTCATCCTAAATCCACGACAGCACTGTACCAGCTACTAGGAAGAAAATTAACTCTATCCCAGATGAAATCAGGGCACTGTGTTTGCACTTTTTCTGGTATTAGGCTTGCCAATCTGATAGTGTGAATTCCTCCTGTTTGTTGCACAATACTTTCTCCTGAAAGTGGCAACAATGGCACTAGGTTCATCTTGATCGCCCAAGTACACTTGCATTTAGTTTTTAGGTGCAGAACTAAACTACAACTCAACAAGACAAGTTTGGTATTCTTCCCTGGACATGAAGTTTAAAGGCCTGCAACAAGATTACTAGGTCTAATTGCTTGTCTGTTTTCAGAAATACTGACAATTTGTATATCCTTCAGAAGCTTGCCCTTGATATGTGATGGGATGCGGTCTTCATCTGCTTGTGATTTTAAAAGAATCGCAAAAAAGTTGCCGTGCAGTACACAAATAACATTTCATCAGTCTGTGGTGTTTTTCTTAAAGCTGTACCATTTCCTTTTGTTGAAATATTACTAGCAGAGAATATGCAGCACCACGTATAACACATCTTGTTGAGAAATAGTTTCTTTCAATGTTATCTACTAAAACACTAAATTCCACTCCTGGCATATGAGTAGTCAGTTGTGAGTAATCCTTCAAGTAAAGACTCCATCATAAAGATCTATGGCAGAAGAGTATCATATATACACTAAAGAGTGAAATATTTTTCAAGGGTTTACGTTTCAGATTGGTTTACATTATTTTAAATGCTTTACCTTCAACAATTCCCTGCAGCTGTCAAGCCCAAGATCCACAAGAATGCCCTTCACCTTTTTTCGAGCCTTCCTGATATTATCAAGATTTTGAACAGGAATTTGAAACATTTTGCACTTTTCCTGAAAAAGAAATACAAAACAGTGACAGAATACTTGAACACAGGCACTTGCATTTAACAGTATTAAAACAAAAACTGAAGTCTGAAAAATGTATTCTTAAGTATCAAAACCCAAAAGCCTTAAGCCAACAAACTGGTCTCATTAGTATTTCCCAGTAGATCACTTGCTTCCTCTTAAAGGAAAGAGAATCTGATTTGGGGGGGCGATCCTTTACATTTCTTCTATCTAAACAAAATCCCAAGTTTTCCTTTCAGATCTCTTTGTGTCTATATGGCAGCTATACTGTGTTTTGTGGTTTTTTTGTAAGAGAACATGAACACCAGAATCCTACTAAGTTCTATTTAGAAAATTACTATCATTTCATTTAGGAAGGAGGAATTCAACACCTTTCACCTTGAACGTTAGTGTCAAGATGAAAAGCCTCTTTGATAATTTGGTTTGTTGTCATTTATGTACATGCTTAAAATATGATTGCTAGTAAAATCTAAATTTCCTGCAGAAGTTTCTGCTGCTGTAAGCCGATATGGACCTTGGCATAAAACAAGCTACTACAATATTAATGCAGTAGAAGTGAAGTGTAATTCATGTATGGCACTGATAGCTAAATATGCTGAAGTGGGACAATTTTTTTTTTTTTTTAATACCTGTATGCTTTTAGGTCTCCTCCTCTGAAGAAGTGTATATAGCTCTGTCACCTTCCCCTACTCCAGAATTTGGATTTACACCCTACCCTGCTCCCTCCAGCAAGCTACGATAGCTGGAGTCCAACATACAGGAGGACGACAACTAAAGCAAGATTATAGAAAGACAGATTATCTGCTGTGGGTGATCTATCTGAAGGGTTGTTGTGCAGTGTGGTTGCCCATCTGTCTAGAACTACCACCACGAAGAGTCTAGCGCTTCCCCAACAGCTAGGCTTTTATCACTCCCCATGCAGCTGGGCTATAAGCAGCGCACCAGTTGCTTATCTTCAGCCCCCAGTACATCATAAGGTATCCCCATGGGCTTAGCTTTAGAAGTATGTGCCTTTATCACCTCCTCCCTAGATTACAGCAAAATGCAATTTACACTAGATTTAAGAAACTTAAATGGGCACAGAATGCAACAGAACTACCCTGCACTGAAAAAAGTCACTGGGAGCTTCACAGGTATTTCTTTGTTCTTAAATAGCTGGCAGACAACTCAGAGTATAAGAGATCTCAGTCCTTACTGCTAAACAATTCATCCATCCAGGACAAGTTCTAACAAGAAGAAAAAAATAAAGAAAATCCCCAAACAGTACTTCAGCCTTGATGGTCTTGAATGTCTTGAAAAGCTATACTTCTCAAAAAAAAACCCATGATCATGGTCAACATGAAATCTTTGCCTTGAAAGGCAAGAGTTTCCTGTAAATAGTTGCAAAAACCCTTCCCACATAAGACAGAAGCTGTAAGCTAAGCCTCAGCAAAAGCAAAGAAAACCAAAAGCTTTTTCTACTCTGTATGTCATCACTTAAGAAAAAAAAACCAATAAACCTTAATATATGTACAGAACATACCATTGAGGCTTTTTAATTAAAATTCAAATAACTCACATGCTATTGTCCTCTTCTTCTCCCCCCAAAGGAAAGGTGTGTAGAGAGAAATGGAGAGGGAGCCCCATTTGACAGATGCTAGTCTTGTTTTCTAATATGTTTTGTCAGTAAGAAGTCTGGAAGACATTCTGATACCATTGGTGTGGGTGTGGAACAGGAACCTATACAGAATGGAATAAATCAGAGTAACTAGTCTGGCATTCTATCAAAATCCAAGGAGTAAAATTAAGACGTAAAAATCCTCTTTTTAAAGTGAAGTCAACTGGGAATTTGTATAGCGTCTGGTTAAAGCTTTATTATCAGTCTCTCTATGTTAGCAGATTACGTGCACCAACCCCATGGTCCACCGCAGGTAACAACAGAGCTGACAGGATGTCACCACGCTCAGATCAGCCAGAAGGAGATGTGGTTCAATACGTTAGACTCCACCGGAAACAGTTCCTCCATCTCAGTCCTTTAACTGATACACTGATGCTACTGAAGAAGGTGAAGCAGACATTTCTTGAGGCATGTCTATCCCACAAAAAAGAAACATTAGTCTACAAAGGTGGTATAGTATGTAACTTCCATGGATCTCAAGTGTTTTCTTAACCAGTAATCTTTCCAAAATGGGAGTCATTAATCCAGGAGAAGAAAAAAAAACCACACACACACACAAAAAACTTGAATAGAAATTACTTATTTTCCAGCTTTCACGTAGTTGGTCTTCAGTCCAAAAAGATGTATATTTCTGTATCGCGTGCAAGGTTATTCAGCTGGTCTTTAAACAAACTGCTTGGGAGTAAGACCCTAAGTTACTCACCTAACACTCTGTATCCATTAGACCAGCAACGGCCCATCATAAAGGTCACAAAATTTCAACCTTCTAAGCTTAATTCCCTCAAGCCCCCAGTTTAATTCCCTGATTACTATATAGTTTATTATCCATACTCTTTTACTACTGATTTATTTCTCTTGTATTTTGGACATTCTTCAAGCCTTAGCTTGCGCTTTGTTTCCATGCATAACTACAGTCAATCTTTTGTTGGTATGCATCCCATTCTTAACCAGCAAATTCAATGTAAAAGCACTACAGTAAAATTAAACCTAAGTTACTCTAGCACAAGAGTCTTGATCCTTTTACCACATTGGCTACCTAAAAAGTTTATCTTAAACTACTTTTAATTGTTCTTTCCAAAAGCCTGATAATCCACTGAGTTTTCACGGACAGTACCTTTTCATAAACAGAACCAAGGCAAGTTAATAGCAAAATAAAAGAATCATTGCAGTGGCTGATGTCCCAAACTCAGTTCTAAAAAGGTCACTCAACCCTTGCTCAGGCATTTTATCCATCAATCTATTCCTACATTTACTGTTCATTTAGATAACACCTCCATAACGATACAGCAAACTGGAGTTTTATACAACACTAAAGGTTCCCTTCATTCCTACAACATTTGTAATCATACATTATAACATCCAACTATGTTCAGCTTTTCAACAAAGATCACAAATGCAACTCTTCCCTTCCACTAGTACTGTAGTATTTTAATACTAGTCTAAACAACAAGGTAACAGCCTGGACAGCATCTTACTAGTCAAAGACAAGTACTACTAGTTTGCCAAGTAACTAGGTTTGACTATAATTTCTCCGCATTAAAAAAAGCGAAAATACTAGCATTTCACCTCTTCAAAGTGAGAAGTCACCACAAAATGGAAAGTTCCTATTTGCTTTCCTTTTAGTCTACTTCTTAGACCAATACTCATTCACCTTGGAAGGGACCTCAAGAGGACACCCAGTCCAGCCTCCTATTCAAAGCAGACTCAACAATGAATTGCAACCAGGGCACTCTGCGTCTTGGCCAGTCAGGTCTTGAAAACCTCCACAGACAGAGGTTTGACAGCTTCTCTGGGCAACCTCCTCCAGCAATGGACTGTGCTCACAGTGAAAGGTTTTTTCCTTACATCAAATCAGTACCATTTTAGTTTGCATTCCTAAGGAAACTAGGCATATGCAATCAAATTAAATATGAAGCTGGTATGGAGCTGGAGCAAGGAAGATGCACAAACATGCCTTCCACATGCATGGAAATACATCTAGCAAAAGCCGACAGTAAACTAGATAATCAGGCATTTCTAAAGAACTCATGAAAACAGGCAGGTGGAGAGCTGGTTTCTCCACAGAGAAAAAGGCTGCAAAGTAGAATCATCATTAAGGTTGGAAGAGACCTCTGAGATCCTCGAGTCCAACCGTCAACCCAACACCACCAGGCCCACTAAACCATGTCCCTAAGCGCCTCATCTACACGTCTTTTAAATACCTCCACGGATGGGGACTCAACCACTTCCCTGGGCAGCCTGGTCCAATGTTTAACCACTCTTTCACTAAAGAAATTTCTCCTCACATCCAATCTAAACCTCCCCTGGCGCAACTTGAGGCCATTTCCTCTCATCCTATCGCCAGTTACTTGGGAGAAGAGACCGACACCCACCTCGCTACAACCTCCTTTCAGGTAGTTGTAGAGAGCAATGAGGTCTCCCCTCAGCCTCCTTTTCTCCAGGCTAAACAACCCCAGTTCCCCCAGCCGCTCCTCAGAAGACTTGTTCTCCAGACCCCTCACCAGCCTCGTTGCCCTTCTCTGGACACGCTCCAACACCTCAACGTCCTTCTTGTAGTGAGGGGCCCAAAACTGAACACAGTAGTCGAGGTGCGGCCTCACCAGTGCTGAGTACAGGGGCACGATCACTTCCCTACTCCTGCTGGCCACACTATTTCTGATACAGGCCAGGATGCCATTGGCCTTCTTGGTCGCCTGGGCACACTGCCGGCTCATGTTCAGCCGGCTGTCGACCAACACCCCCAGGTCCTTTTCCACCAGGCAGCTTTCCAGCCACTCTTCCCCAAGCCTGTAGCGCTGCATGGGGTTGTTGTGGCCAAAGTGCAGGACCCGGCACTTGGCCTTGTTGAATCTCATACAGTTGGCCTCGGCCCATCGATCCAGCCTGTCCAGGTCCCTCTGCAGAGCCTTCCTACCCTCGAGCAGATCAACACTGCCGCCCAACTTGGTGTCGTCTGCAAACTTACTCAGGGTGCACTCGATCCCCTCATCCAGATCATAATGTAACCCTTTTTAGACACCAAATAATCTACACAGAAGCCAGATTTCCAGACATGTTCCTAGGAAGCTGGCGTTCACTAGTCTCTTGCTCATAGAACCGCTTAGAGTAGGGAAATTAGGAAAGGCTTATGGAATTTCGTCCTTTCATATTATCTGCTTTGGAAATTCAATCATTCTTAGTTTTTATACCTTTTTATCTAGTAAACTGTTATTAGTAACTGTGGAAGAGATTTTTATAAAGGCTTTCAGGTTTTGGGATATTTGGATGGGAAGTATTTTTAAAAGTTTTTTTTTTTTACCAACTTATATTTCAGCAGTTATCAGAGTTGACAAGCACCAATAAAGAATTCTTTATTTTCATTTTAGTAAACTCATTAGAAGTTGATAATTCAGTATTAGTTGAGAAAACAATAACAACTGCTTCATTCCTGAAAATTAAATGAGAGCATGTGATCTACTAATTCTCAGAATCTAAGGAACAAGAACATTGGATGCCAAAGAGAGCAGCTAGGAGAACAGGCACAGAGAAACTGCCTAGAAGAACGTGAGTTCAGCTAGGCCATGCTGAATTTTACTCTCATCAATTTTGTTTTGTTTCTGATAAGCTTACAAGCCCTCCAAGAAGTCATACCTGGATATCTGCTCAACCACATATTACACGGATGGTTCCATTCCCTGGACTCTTATCTGTGCCTTCTGAGAGAGACCTAACCAGATTTAAGAGTACGTTGGCACCATGAAAGCTTATCCAGCCTTTGGAGGGAGAGGGAAGTAATGCACATAGCTTCCTATCAACACATCTAGGTGTTTCAACAGCTTTGAAAGATTCGATTCCTGGAAAGAAAAACAGTCAGTTGATTAGAATGGATACTATTCTTGTTTATTATTTCATTTGTTGTAAGCTAAAATTAAACTCACTACAGAAAAAAATAGATTAATAAAACTTACTAAGAGTAGTTCTGGACAGCAAAATAATGCTACTTTATCTTCTTAAATTCCAATTTCTATCCAAGTGCAATTTGATAGAAATCTCAGGTGAAAAAAAATTAAACATTTTTTTTCATGCAACTAAATCACAAACCTTTAGGGGTCTGGAATTATAGATCTCTCCTAGTCACTATAATTTTGCTCTTTTCTTGGCTATAAATCACATACCCGTTAAAACAGCCATCTAATCCAACACAATGATGGCCATCATTCAATAGGTGCTAACACAGTAAAGGTGTGTGATTACATAAAGATACAGAGCATCAACCTGCATCTTACCTAAAAAGTCAAATCTAAAGGAACTTGGATCACTAACTTTAGCTACCGCGGTTTAAATAACTATTGTAATGCTTCATTAACACACAATCAAGCCTCTGTTATCCAAGATTAGTTAGAAGAGAAGGGACTATACCATTCAAACTCATGGAGCCTTCCTAGAGCACTGTGACTCACACAGAGCTTGACTCCCTTGGGGATCAGCATTAGCCAGAAATTGAACCCAGCAAGACCCAAGCTCATTCTAGATGACTTGAGCATCTACGTGGAGCCTATTCAAATCCTGCAGGACTCATCAGCCCCATGCATATGTGAGCGGAGGGGTCACACACCGAGCCCAGCTATTCCAGGAAGAAGTACAACTGCATTTGTACTGCCCTAGTCAGCCTGGTGACTCAAAGACATTTCACACAGATGCACATAACAGTCCACAGCACAGACAACTCACAACCTGAATAATTCAGCAAGGGGACAGAACTGAAAAAAATAAGGCTGTGCTACAGGTTGCAGCAGAAGGATTGAGGTGTTTAAACACAAGCCACCAGCTCTACCGGCATTCACCAGGACTTAACCCAAATCGAGGAGTTCCCAGTGGTAAAACATAAGGCAATATAAAGCTATGTTTGTGTGCTCTTCATTGTGTCTGATGATTTGCTATATATTGGGGGGGGTTATTGTTTTTTTACAAAACTTTCATGAAGTGAACTATTAGAATTACAGG